AATTATTACCTCTAATAACACCCATAATTAATGGATGTGGAATAGCACTTTTAATATGAAGGCTCTGTTCATAAAGTGTTTTTAATTTCTTATTATTCTTTTGTGCTGTATACATTTGTATTTCTAAGGCATAAATTTCCAATAACTGAGTTCCTTTCTTTAGATCATCTTCTCCATCATCAGTCTAAAAATACATATATAAAGTAAGTATATGAACATATAATATACTTATCCCACAACATATTGTAAAACATAGATGAAACTGTACCTGACAACTTTGGTGAAGTTGTTTCAGTATTTTTGCCAATTTATTAAAATCTGCACGGTCATAATATAACTTTCCCAATTTCGTATTTGTTTTAAACCATAACCTATCATTCTTTGCATCCTTTAATGCATCTAATGTGGTTTCATAGAAGTCTTGTAATAGTTCCATCTTAAAAGTTAATCAACAGAATAGATCAAATTATTAAGATAATAAATGTAACCTAATAACAAATGTAAACATGTAATATTGTGCTTATTTTGTAAATGTAACTTACATTTTTTGATGTACTAATATAATCTAATATGGAATTTATTGACTTTTCTGAATGATTTCTAGTAACTGCACTTTTTATATAGGTTAATAATTGTTTATACCTTGACATCATCTCTTTATAATTGGACTAAAAATGAGTTATTATATTTGATTTTTGCTTATAAACAAAGTTAAATATTATTAGTATATTTTTTTATATACCAATTTAAAATTAATTTTGATCATCTGTTTCAAGGCTTTAAAACCCCACTCTCCCTTCTCTCCACCTTCCAGATCTAATACTTTTTGAAAACTTTGTAAGGCAGCTTTTGGGTCATCTTCTTTTAAAGCTTTACTATTGTAATATTGATTTTCTAAATCAACGTCTGGTTCAGAATTGGAATCTTCAGAATACTCCTAAAACAATTAAGAATTAAAATATAAGACCAATTGAGATCACGATATCTGTTCAATGATAAAAGGTACTTAAATAAAGCATGCTTAACATGTTCTGTGCCATATCAATCTGAAATATATTTATTTATTCAGAGGTGATTTACATATCCATATTAAATTTATGCATTATATTTATTAAATAATCTATATAATAATAAAAAAACTATTATATTATAAAAAATTATTATAAAGAAAAAAGCCTAATAGTACTAATATTGCAACACATCATAATTATGAACTAACAAAAAATGATATCAGGTAATATCTCTGATTCTGTAGTTAAAATTTTAAACGGTTTGAATAAGTCTAGCATGAGTGACCGGTGCAAATTCACAAATGCAAAGTTGTCAAACATAACCTAATTAAACAAGTGATCGCTCGAACAATCAAACAAAGATTCAACAAACGACAAATCCAAACGAGTTTGTTTGTCACCGAAGAAGATCTCTCGAAGTGTCCCTCAGGCGAGGTTTCGAATACCGAACGTGATAGCTTCGGGAATCCTAACCTCAACGCAAGCCGGAAGAAAAATTGTTCCATGAAACAACGGCTTTGTGAGTATCGAAAGGGAAACTTACCAAGCCATAATCCTCCTCTTCTTCGCACATGAAATCATCCTCGCCGTCTGACATTTCGTAGAATTTTTCTTGGTCAGCTACTTTTTAGGATAAATCCACGCAATTCTCCGTTAATTGCGACGATTATGTCCGAATCGAGTATAATTTTGAAATTTGCCTGTGCGTTGACACCACCAACGCGCGAACGCGCCACTGACGCTACAGTGGCGTAGCCTCAGATTTGTTTTTTGCTGTAGGTATGGAAAAAAAAGAAAAGGAAATAATGGTGTATTTCATTATAATGTTAATAATATTAAATGTTTATAAGGATTTTAATATAACATATTGGTATTAATATATAATATTAAATTTAATATTACATTTTACCAAGATTGGATAGTAACTAGTTATCAATTATAAGTAATAAAGTTAAAAAAATTAATTTTTAACTTAACTTAGTTAAAAACATTAACTTGCTCAATCTTGCATTTTAATAATATACTAATAATTATATGTATTATAACAGTAATACTTTCTTTTTGACATTGTGATACATTTTATATCTATACGTGTGATATGAGGAAAGTAATTTCAAATGGAAAAATATCAATGATGATAATAAAAAAAAGAACAGTATGATCAAGTGTAGAGCCTGTCCAGACAAAGGGTCGGGCACATACTTCTGCATAACGCATAATGCATTACGCATAAGAAAATGAACCAATCAGAATCTTTTATTTTCATTGTGGCGATAGAAATGGAGAACTATGATTGGTTCATTTTATTATGCATTATGCAGAAGTGTGTGCTACGGCCCAACTTATATAGCGCAACATAACCACATGCATAAGGAAAATTATCCAATCGCACTTTACATCATCGTGCTTCATGATAGAAATGCGATTTCTATCATATTATGCGATTATGCTGCTAATGCGATTATGCAAATTTGTCTGGAAAGACCTTTCATAAATAAAGGAATCTTGAATTCTAATTAATTGAAATTCATGTAGTTTTGATGTAACATAAGGCTCCAAATGTTTTGAAGCATTTTCTTGATTGGTCAATTGATAAAATTCTTTGTTTTAATTGGTCAATCAAACGCTTCAAAACAAATAATGAGACTTTGATCATACTGTTAACTAATAGAATTTTACTACAAACTTTTTATAATAGATTTGTGTATAATTTCCAGATTGATAGAGAACATTTAGACTTATTTTTTTTTTAATAGCAACTCATATTTAAAGAAATAAGGAATTCATCAATGTCAAATCGCGTCCATAAACTCATTTATTGGAGCTCCTCGTTTCCTCTCTCGCATATGATCGTGTCAGCTGCATACGTGGTTTACGGCTTTCCACATGTGTCGGATTATACATATACGTGTGTGTGGTGACAAGATGAGCAACGTGAACGAAACGTCGAATGAACCGATACTGTATGAATTATTAGAATATTTCGTTCGTAAGCAAGAACCGGAATTAATAGTAAGTCCAAGATCTCGAATTCGCAGGACTGACATATGGGAAAGTAATAAAATTGAAAATGATCACACCTATATTTAAAATGTTTCACATTTTAGAAATGCAAAAACGATGCGGTTATCCTCCCAACTACTGGCACAATAAAAAATGCTCTGAGATATCTAAACAACAGGTATTCTGTACCTGCGAGTATTTCACAGCAGGTCAGTCTTACCCTACCATGGAAATTTGCTGTTGGAGATCACGGTCGAGTACTTGCGATTTTACAAGAAAACATCATCGAGATACGAAAAGCCAAAGATGAATATTCCTCCATAGTAGGCAAGGCATCGGGTAAGTATTAACAACATTTTTAAACACTTATATTTCTTATTAAAAGTTATTTTTTCTTTGTATTAAATGTTGTTCTTTTTTTTTTTAATTTCATATATTAAGCGCTTTATATATTTTTCAGCTCCAAAAGATGCTTTTCCTCAATGGCGTAAACTTGCATGGAGTCCAGATGGAATGATTTTAGTATTGGCATCTAGTAGTGGTTATACATCCTTTTACAGTGCTCTAGGCAATAACATTTTTAATATAAGTCCAAAAACAATTTCGCAAAACCCTCATATTCTTGAGGTTGGTGATGCTATAGCATCCATGCTGTTCCTTAAACCAAGGACAACGAATGAGAAATGGGCCTATGAATTTATTTTAATTTCGTATAGTGGATTGCTTAGGTCTTACCATATTTCTACAAGTGGCTTTAGTGCAAATTATGACTTTTCCTTTGGTAATTTTTACAAAAATGGTATTAATGTTGTTGCCTATGATCAAAATCGTAACTTATTTTATGTTGCTGGAAATATGATAACAAAAAAATTAACGGTAAATATATATGAAATTATATATATATAATTATATATATATATATATATATATAATAAATATAACAACATATCCTGCAAGTATAATATGCTTATATATTCTTTTAGTCTACTGCATCAGAATCTGGATTAACTTCATGGCGACTCTTGGATGATGACCCATATTGTACATTATCATTTTCATCTGAATATTCTGCTGTCAGCAATTCACGATTTTCTATATGGAATTTAATTCCTAGCTTTACCTTTCAATCAGAGTCTATTATATTTTCGATAAAAATTTCTCCGAATGGTCAATTTTTGGTATGCTTACATACGGATGGTTCGGTCTCATTGTGGGGTTTACCAAATTTAATATTACAAAAGAAATGGAAATTGTGTGAGCAACCAGAATATAATATACCTAATCCTTTGGGGATTACAAAATCTAAAAAGTTTCCATCAGGATTTACAGAATTTCATCCAATAGATATTGGTTGGTGGTCAGATCAGGTAAATTTTTCTCATTTACATGACGTTTAAATTAAACATTTAAATAATATTTTATAATATATATATTTTTTAAGGCTATCATAATAGCTCGATATTCAGGTTCTACTTCAGTCTGCTCTACATGGAACCTAAAAAATTTATTAGGCATTAGTCCAGAGTTTCTAGCAGGACAGCCACAAATATGTGAACTTGGTTTAGAGAAAGGATTTTTATGTTTAGATTGTGAAATATTTATTATAAGTAAAAAACGAAATAGAGAACCTAATGATGGTCATGATCATTTATCAGGTTTGTTTATATTATATATTTTTGATAATTTATTATTTTTTTACAATAACTTGTTTAGTATGATAATTTATTAACCAATCTGCATATAGTACTGCATAGGATACAATGTTTTTTTAAAATTAAGAATATAGAAAATAAAAGCAATATTTTCTATTTTATAGAAGCATCATCTGAAAGCGAGAGAGACGACGATGAGTTGGAACCTGTTACTTTATTAAATTATACTACAAATTTGGTACAAAGCACATTATATTCAATAACGGATATTGAAAGATTTCAACCAAAGAGGAAAAAGTCGAAAGTATTACATCGAACTTATAGAATTTTGGGTTTAAAAAGTACGACTCCGGAAGAACTCTATTCTAGAAAAATAGACATTGAGGTATATGGATGAATAATTGATTATTCAATGTTTATATTAAATAATTAAGAGGTTTTCTGTATTTTTTAGGAATACGAAGAAGCTTTAGCTTTAGCAAACACATATAATTTGGATACAGATCTTGTTTATCAAACACAATGGAGAAAATCAGAATTATCTTTAAATGCTATTGAAGAACATTTAAGTAAAATCAGCAAAAGATCATGGGTCTTAAATGAATGTGTTGTACGCGTTCCTGACACTATGGAAGCTGCAAGGGAAATATTAAATTTTGGATTAAGAGGCGCAAATTTAGAAACTTTAATAGCTATTGATATTTGTGATAATGACAAATTTGTATCTCCTGATACAGATAACGATTGGCAAGCATTAGATGAAATTACTGTAAGTTTAAAACAGGTGAGCAAAGTTAATTATGATGATCTTATAAAATATATAACATTGTAAAAAATTATATATACACAAATTTAATTTGGAAAAAATTAATAGGTGCAGAAAACTAACGAAATGCTTGAAAAAATAGACATAAAAAATTTGTCTGAGGCTCAAAAAGATTTAATTAAATATCGAAGGAAACTTCTCAGTCATTTAGATAAATTGCTCACTTATGAAATTATATTAGAGTCTCCACTCAAATACAATAAAGACTTTTATGAGGAGTTTCGTAGATTATCAGCTATTGAAAATGCAATCAGGTATTAATTATATTTTATCATTTATTGATATTTTTATAAATTTTTTAATTATAATTATAAACAATTTTTTAAATTATAGATTTGCTAAAGATGGCGATTGCCGAGCTGTTGAAATTATGTTTACTTATTATGGAGAAAGTTTGCTGCCTCACTGGCTAGCAATTATCAGTTTTTTTCCAGAAACTTTAAAGCCATCAGATTATCAAAAATTGCTGCCAGAATGTGATTCAGAAGGTCAACTATTTTTGTTAGATCAACGTGAATTACGACAAAAAGATTGGTCAGAAAAACATGAATTTAATGAAATAATAAGTCTGAATTCAGATGATCGATCAGAAATATTATATGAATTGGAACCTTCTTTGTTAATATATAGGTATAAGAATTTTGTTACATTATTATCTATATTTTCTATAATATTATCTTATCATTATTTTATTTTTTTAGAAATACAAAACTTACACCAAACTTATTACAAAAATGGTATAAAACACGAGCTTATGAAATTGAAAAGAATAGTTCTTTAGTAGATAATGCTTTGCAATTAGTTAAAATTGGAAAGTCATATAATATTAATGGTATGGAAGATTTATTATTAGATTTGGAAACGTTAGATGATCTCGTGTATAAAGTAAATTTAGAAGATATGTCATTAGATAAATTAGAGAAGTTGACTAATGTAGAGAAAATAAAACTTTTAATGAGTACATCAACTGAAACTAACTTTGTTGAAAATATAAAGAATCTTTTATTGCCTTTTATTAAACGAAGGCATCAGTATATGGTATGTATAGTATATATAACTGATATATAATATATACTATCTATAATAGAGATAACTTAGATAACTGAAATTACATATACGACATAATACTGTTCAAAATTTTAGGGAGACCTGCAGAGATGCTTATTGAGTGATTATTTAGTCTGTTTAAGCAAAGACGATTTGACATTTCCAGTTAAATTTTTTAAATCAGTAAAACAGACCCAAGATAGTGAAATAATCGAAATGATAGATGATATGGCTAGTTTAGCTTTAGATTGTGTATATGCTTGTGATGATCTTGACATGTATGAAAAAGCCAAGAATATTCTAGATTCGATATTGAAAGATTATAATGGAAAGAGTTCAATATATAGTTTATTGGAGCAGTGTGAAGGAGAACTTGATTGCATTCGACTTTTAAACAAATATGGTGTAAAAACAACGTTAAAATTTATACAACAAAATAAAAACGATCTCGATATCGCAAAATCATTGTTAGTTCAAATGGCAAAGAGTTTGAATAAAAGGTATATTGAAAATGTATTTATGTAATTATTATTACTTAATTAATTATTATTATATTATGTAATTTTAAATGATTTTTGTAATAATAGATTGAGATAATAATATATTTATTATTTCAGTTTATTGCCTCCAGATGAAAGGGAATGGGCACAATTATTAAACGATATGTTAGATATACATGGATTAATTTTTCCATGTATTGCTGTTGAAACCTGTTTTGAAATATGTGTTTCAGCCCGCTTACTTTCAAGGACTAAATGTACTATTCGTAATTGTGCTACTTTGATAGAAACCAAGAAAAATGAGAAATCTTTGGTAAAGGTATCCTATGAGACAGCTATTGAGCTTATATTAGAAGCATCCAAAGAATATTTTAATGGTTCGAGAACACTTACTGATCCACATATGGAATTAGCTAAGTAAGTACTTTACTAACATAATAATTATGTAATAACTTATTCTGAACATAACCTAAGTAAATAATTGTTTCAGAACTTGCCTTGATCTTATCGAAGATGATAACATAAAAATTAAAGAAGAATATGATCTTATTAAATCACTTCAAATATTAAATGAATTCAATGTTGATATATTACCTCTTCAAGTTAGATTAACAGCAGATAAATTAACTCTGATTGAACACTGCTTGAATAATCAAAGAGATGCTTATAAAAATCGACAAAGATTATTAACATTAGCAACTTATTTACGAATTGAAGGAAAAAATAGTAGATTCCGTGAAGGAAAAATTTCAGAACTAATAGCTAAAAAGGCACTTGAGGTGAGATATAATCATTTTTTCGACATATATTTTTTATACATTCTTATAAATTAATTTTTAAGATTTTTTTGAAAACTGAAACATAAAGGTAATATATATTATGATATATTACTTTTTTTTATTGTACAGATCGAAGATTATACTACATGCGCTACAATATGTATGCAATTAGCACAAAACAATTATCTTTCTGCCTGGGAAATTTGTTTAAATTTGGGATGTTGTGATAATTATCAAGATTTAAAAATTAGGCAAAAGTGTTTATGGTTTGCGATAAATAATGGTTCCAATGATATATTGGGTAATGCTTTAGAGCATGTACATTTGTTAGAAATACAAATGCTACATAAAAATTTGGAAATGTGGATGCCCTCTGCTGAATTTGAAAGCTTAAAAGATGAAGAAAGTGATATAAGCGAAGATGATTTTACAGATGCTATGACAACGGTAAAAGAAATTTATTTTAATGAATGATAGTAATGTTAATTTCTTCCCATGTATAATGCGAGATATGAAGAAATATAACTATTATATAATTTACAGCCACAAGTAGAGGTAAAAGAATTTGTTCCAAAAATGTTGAAAACTTCAACAGGAATTGTGAAAAGCTCAGCTAATATTATGAAAGAATCTACATTTAGTTTGATAAGAAACATCAGTAATACTACTTTTTGGAAGTCTAGACTGAATATAAACTTTAAAAACGAGTTAGAAACTGATATACAACATGAATCTGACATGGAAAATAAAAAGGAAGATACAAATCTTCAAAGTTTTCCATGCTATTATGAATCCTTGCACAAACTTTGTAGGATAAGTGTTAATGAAACAAAATATGATAAGTGTTTTATGACAGACATAGAAAATACCAAATTAAAATGCTGTCGAGCTCTTTTAAGAATAACTATGTTGAGTGAATCCGCTTGCTATGGACTAGAAATAAGCGATATTAATCATTGTAAGTAATATGTTCTATTAAAAATATTAAAATTTTAAACAAATCATATTTATATAACAAAAATGATAAAATTATCTTATTAATTTCAGTGCTTTTAGAATGTACAAAATATACATTACCAGACGATTGGCTACTTGGCATGGCATATTTATTGAGTTTAAATAAAGATCGCATTTTAGATGCTCAAGACATTTTTATGGATTTGCCGCAAATTGAATTATACATACAAACTGCACTCTATTATTATTCATTAGAATTGTATAAGAAATCATATTCTGATTGCGGAAAATTGTATTTATACAATCCATTTGATTTAATAAAAACCATGATAATTGCAGCACAAAGTTCCGAAGAATGTGATATTATTAAAGCATTGAAATATTGGCAAAATTATTTAATTGGTGGAGCACAAATTATTAGCATTAAACAAATAAAAATAAAAGATATAAATATGTTAGAACCAGAACAAAATAGTATTCAAATACATTTTGAAGAAACTGTAAAAACTTTAGAATCTGTAAACAAAAAACGAAAATCTACAGAATCCATCGATGTCGATAATATTCCATCTTCAAATTCTAAGACAGATGAAGATTTAGAACATACTGTTATCTCAGATAATATTGATGCCATGGAATGGACAGACGATTGGGGTGATTTTTCCGATGATAACATGGAAGCAAATAATGATAAGAAGAATAAAATTAAACTCGAAGGAATTTCACAAGAAGAAATCATTTCTCCTCTTGATCGTACAATTGCCGAATGCATAACAGAAGAAGATCGATTCAAATTATTTCAAAAGCAATTTAATCAAATTGATAATTTAGAACAATATCAGGAAGTAAAAAAAATGATATCACAATGGCCGAAATTTAATATGTCGGATCATATCACGGTAGAAAACCATCCAGTTTTAAAAATGATGAAAGTAATAGTTACACTTATAAAAACAAATACAACAGATTTTGAAAAAAGGATATTACAAGAACATGAAGAGCTAATTGGATTATTAACTTCTGAAGAGGTACGATAACGAATTACATTACCATTTTTAATATATTTAATTAAATATTATTTAAATGTTTTTATAATACAGATTCTTAAACAATTCTTGGAGCGTGAACGAGATCATATCAATTTTCTACAAAGGCTTCACATCAGATTATGCACCCAAGACGTGTCTATGCATGAAGAAGCAGTAGATCTCATTAGACAACAACAGGTCAGTATCATCTGTATCTATGAATACTTAAATTTTTAAATATACAATAATTTTATAATTTCATCATGAGTCATACAATAATTTTATTTTTTTTAGGCTATCGTACTACCGCCATTAGTACTTGAGAAACTCTTTCTAAATAACTTAACGATATCATTCATACCAGATCACGTTGTATACAATCAAATAATCGAACATGTCTTTATAAATGAATCCTTAACTGATATTGAAGAAAATGCGAAAATACTCATACATGAGTTGAAGAAACGAAAATATATATTAGAGGCTTTGCTTATTATAAAATTAATGAAGAAAATACCATCGGCCTTATGCACATTTGATACTTGTTTTGAATTATTAATGCAGGAATAAATTTATTCCGGTTGTAAAAAATGCTGTGATGTATATTGAAAATAAGGAAAAGTTACAAAAAAGGTAGCTATCATAAATAATATATTTTATTTTATATAAAAACTTTTAGATGTGCGGATGGTCTAGAATTTAAAGTTGCTTCTATTGTAAGTTCAATGTATTTCATTGTAACAAAAAATGTAAATTAGACTGAAACAATTTTAAATCTTCCTTCCGTATGTAACAAAGTTTTCTCTGACAGTTTAGAAAATTTATATCTCTTTTGTATGTGTGTGTGTGTGTGTGTGTGTGTGTGTGTGTGTGTGTGTTTGTGTGTTTGTGTGCTAAAATATGTTTTAAATAAAATGAAGTGAACAAAGTAATTCAATTGCCACTCATATTGTAACTATTAAATTTGATCATTTTCAATGACATTAGTTTTTTATATAACTTTTATCAATTGCAATTTGTCTTTTCTTACTCTGCTATTTGACATTATCTCATTCAGATAAATTATACTCACACTTTTACACTAATATACAAAATTTTATAGCTGTAGCTTATATCTGTACAGTTTAACAATTAATCAATTGAAGAACAAAGAAGATATATCAAGGTTTTACTCACCATTCCAAACGCCCTTCTTCTCGTGCTCTCTTCGCTGTGCAGGGGATATACATTTCTCTTTTTCATCGACCCGGCTTCCCCCTTAATAACCCGCGGCTATTTTTGCGCCGCGCACTGCGGCAGCATGGAGTACAACGACACGCTGCTTATCCCAGGCCAACGTATACGTCCGCCCATGACCGAGAAGACAGCGGTCGCCCTGCTGGAACGACTCTATGGTATGAAGGCGACGAGCGTGCGTGAATTGAACGCTTACGACGATCGCAATTACCACGTGGTGTGTGACGGGACAACTACAAATCCGCACGTGATTAGACCGGAAAAGGCCGGCTATGTTCTCAAGGTGATCAACTCCTTGGATTCCCGCAAGACTGGGGTGATCGAGGCGCAGACTGAGCTTATGATTTTCCTCAATCAACGAAACATTTGCTGCCCGTTGCCGGTCAAGAATGTAAACGGCGCGTACTTTTCTCTAGAGAATTTGAAGATTGAGAATACTATGGAAAAGTATGCTGTGAGGCTGCTAGTCTACCGACCTGGTGAGCTGCTGTATCACATCAAAATAACGGACGAATTGTTGCGCCAAGTTGGTAACTTTACTGCCAGAATTGACGAGTTACTCGTAGGTTTCAATCACCCCGCTTATGATGATCACAGGTCATTGTGGATGTTGATTTCGATGCCGCGAGTGCAGCAATTCACGTATGCGATCAAGAGCTCGTTGGATAGACAATTGGTGCATGATGTAGTTGTTAATTTCCAGAGAGAAGTATTGCCAATCACGGACCAGTTGGAACAAGGGATCATACATGGTGATCTGAATGAACACAACATTATCGTAACTCCTGATGGCAAGAACATTGCTGCTGTGATTGATTTTGGTGATTCTCACAGGACTTGTCGCGTCTTCGAGCTAGCTATAGTTCTCTGCTACATGATCTTACAAGCGGCCGATGTAGGAATGGGTAAATACATTGTGGAAGGTTACGAACAAGTCAAGAAGTTGACTGATGTGGAGAAGAAGATTCTCAAGATCAGCGTATGTGCTAGGATGTGCCAAAGTCTGGTAATGGGCGCTTATTCGCACTTGCATGATCCCGAAAATCAATATCTGCTAAGCACGCAGAAAACCGGATGGATGTTACTGAAGAGATTGTGGCCCATGAGTCAAAAAGATGTAATACATGCTTGGGGATTGGCCAATCCTAAGTAATATTAAAGTAATACTGATCAACATTTGTCTAATCAATGAATGACAAAATATTTACAATGAACACATTTACAATGTTTGTCTTATACATTTTTTTACGAATGTTGCTTCTGTAACGATGATTTTTATAATTATGATTTTCTTATTTAACTTTTTTTCTTAACTTGTAAAAGATATGATGTAATAAGTTCATCTAAGATAATTTGTTAGAATTGAGAAGCTATAAGAGCTTATAAGGCTATAATGATTCAGTCGAAAGAAACAGAGATGTCAAATTTAGTCTAATTTGTTTTAGCATTATTTAATACGTATATTGTTTATATTAAGTTGATGTTTAACAATATCAATTGCATTATTAGGCATGAGTAATGCATTAGCGGACATTTTTTATTATATTATTTATTTATG